GACAGTGTTCAAATTGGCGTGTAATATAGGAGTCATTTCCACGTCATTTCCACTGGCAGCCGCCCGGGTATATACGCTAGTCGCACGACTTTCTATCGGGCACTTGGTGTAGAGGAACACACGCGGATTTATATGTAGAAGCGACCACCGGTGGTACGGCATAAGCACGAGCGGTAAGAACTAGCATGCGCCACGAGTCGGGAATTCGAACCTCCCAGCGTCCTATCTCTTTTTTTTTTTTTTTTTTTGGCCCCTTTCTCTTCCCAGAGCAACAAGTTGGTTACTATTCTGCCATGGCAGGAGATTTGGCGCAGGCGGGCGAGCTGACCGAGTTTGATCACTGATTGAACGCTTTGCGCTCGGGAAAGAGAAACATAGATTTTCAGGATCGAGTCCTGATCAGAAAACCATCAGAGGATACTTACGATGCAGATTAGATTGAATGGTACAGTAAAGTATAAATACAGGAGCTACTTGAAACAGGATGGGGATGCGTAGAAGTACAGTGAAAGTGATATTTACTTGAGTGGGTGCGGTAGCTTATCAGTAACTGTAGTACACCTGTGGGGCATAAGAGAGGTTGTGGAGTTCCTGGTTCGTGAATAGGGAATCATCGTGGCCGTCGTCGTAGAAGGACGACACTGCGTCGTATCCCCCGAACGTCTGCGGCGCAGGAGCGTCGTAGAAGTGGCCGTACGGGGGATATCCCTCGGACGTCTGCGCAGACGTTTCAGGCGCGGCCTGAATTGGCATACCGCTCTGAGAGGCAAACTCTGCAAGGCCGTGGTTGGTGGAGTCAAAGTACTCAGGTTCCTTGTACGTCGCAGGAGGGGCCTGAGTTGGCGCATCACTCGGAGGGGGAGGAGCTTCATAGAAGTGGCCGGGAGCGAACGGCGCCGCCGCATACTCCTCGAGCGGCTCATCAGGGGCCGGGATTGGCGCATATTCATCATAGTAGGCGCCCTGAGGCAAACCCGAGGGGAAAGCTGCCAACGGGATGGGTCGCACGTCCGTCTGGGGGGCCGGCGCAGGCTGTTCTCTGTGCGCGTAGTAGGCGGCCTCCGACGAGAAATCCTGAGCAGCCGAAGGGCCCACAGGGAAAGATTCTTGAGAGGACGTCGCGAGCGCGGCCGACGGGCCATCTGGCAAGTAGCGCGTGATGCGCAGGACCCAGTACTGGAACGTAGCCGGGTCGTACAGCCAGTTCCCCCAGAAACACGGGCCCTCCGCGTTCTGGAGATCGACCAGACCCTCGCCCGTGAAGAACTTGAGGAGCCAACGCGGGCAGTCATCGGGCGAGATCGGCGTGTTCGCCGGGCCGTGGACACAGTTGTAGAGCGAGACGTCTCCGTTGCGGTACACGGTTTGCGGTACGTCTCGAAGAGTGTCGGAGGAAACCTGGCACAAGATCCGCGGCACCTCCGGCACCGAATACGTCCGAGATAATGCGAGTTGGGCGTCGGACGCCGGAATCCCGTGTGGCACCGACGGGGGGGACGCCTGCTGCTGCTGCTGAGACACGTCGGATTGATACACGGGCTCGCGGATGGGACAAACGGCGGCCTGCAAGTCCTGTTGCACCCCCGGTAGCATGCGCAGCACACCGGGCTGCCGGACAGACGGCGGGTTCTGGCTCTGGCTCCCGCTCGCGGATGCGCCGGTGTACTCGTAATTCGCGTTGACCGGCGGAGGATCGAGCTTGAACACACTCATATTGCTCGCAGGGCCCGGGTTCTGCTTCGCGAACGCCGTCCGCTTCCTCGAGGTGGTGGGTCCATCGTCAGTGGCCCTGCAACGGCAATAGACGTTAGAAAATGCGCGGAAGCGGAGAAGGGGAGAAAGGCACGCACTCGTCGTTGTCGCGCGCACGCTTTTCACCCCGAGGGGGTGGCACGACAGATGTGGGAGTCGGGGATGCGATCTTTTTGTCTTTTTTCCTCTGCTTGCGCGAAGGCTTGGTAGTCCCTTCATTGCTCGGGGCAGCGGTAGCGGGCGGGGGACCTTCACCCTGAGGGGGTGGCATGACAGCGTCGGGATTCTTCTTCCGCTGGCGCGGAGGCTTGCCTTGGCCTTCGGGCTGAAAGGGAAGAAACGACGCAGCGTCAGCCTGCTGCGCCGCTTCTATGAGAGCCGGTTTAAGGAGCGAGGTGCCCGTCGCGTGCTTCGGCGCATGGACTTTGGCGGGAGGGGGAACAGGAAGAGTAGAAGGGAGCGTGGAAGGCTGCTTCGACGCGGAAGCACCTTGGGTAGGGGTAGGGACAGTGGGGTGCCCGCCCGCAATGGGGGTGGCACGGAGGAGAGGCTGGGACCCGGAGCCGGGCAGAGCGAGGCCCGGGTAGTGCTCGACGAAACTCTGGCCGGACTGCAGGGAAGTGTGAGCGGAAGTGGGTTTCGTGGAGGTGGGTTTCGCGGAGGAAGCTTGGGTGGTGGAGCTGGATGTCGGCAGTGCGAGGCCACTGAAGCCACCGGATGATGCTTGGGCAAAGATGGGGGGAGGGTAGTAGGAAGGCGGTGCCATGTTAATGTCGTAGAAAGCGTTAATAGAAAGCGTAATGAGTGACGTGGATGAATGGAGGGGACGCGCTATCAAAGCGACGACGAGCTCGGAAGAGGTAGAAATGGGCAATGCAGGAGGAGGAGGAGGATGGCAGGAGGATGGATGCAGTGCTTGGGAATATGCGAGTCGGAAAGAAGAAAATGCGAGGGTGACAAGCACCGTGGCGGAGGAAAGAGAGAAGGCAAGAGACAGAGAGAGCAAGGAACCAAACAATTCCCAACGCGACAACCACGCGCGAACCAGTGACCGCTATTTTGGGAGCCACTCCAAAGTGTCAATCCATTATGCACATCTCCTCAACCAAAGCGTAGCTGGTATGTGTCGGTCCAACAGATATATTAGCACGACGGCTCATGCGACTGTGGACGAACGAAGGTGGCATGCTTATTACTCGATGATACACACGAAGTCCATTCCTTTATGAATGTTTCTCAAATCTTGAACGTCTACAACAGCGTCTCGCCTACATCGAGGTGAGTCTCCGACCATTGAATAGGGAACAGAACACTTACCCAGTGCCGCGCGTACCAAGGAACACCCAATGGTGACCGTCTGCTTTACACTAGCAGCGTCCGCCAACGACGGGTTCACTTCCTAGATAACGCAGATACAGCTCAGCAATTGGTTACGTTCGCTGCCACCGCCTACCATGATATCGAGGGCAACCAAAAGTCCCGTCTCCCAGATCGCCTCGCAGATATAATGCCCCTCTCTAAACGTGAGCCCTCCACGAACTGGCGTTCCGGTCGACGGAGCCACGGACGGGTCCAGCGCATCCACATCGAAACTCAGATGAATGGGGAACGCGCGCCTCGGGTTGACGTAGTCCAGCGCCATTTCGACGACCTTGCCAATCCCGTACTTGTCAACCTCGTGCATGCTGAACGCCTTGATGTTGTTCTCCTTCAGGATGCGCTTCTCCCCGGCGTCGACGTCGCGGAGGCCGATGTAGACGATGCGCTCCGGCTTGAGCACGGGCTTCACCCAGGCGAACTCGGGGACCGGGCTGCCGAGGCCGAGAAGGAATGAGACGGGCATGCCGTGGATATTGCCTGCACATCGACGACGTGAGCGGACATTAGCAGATGGGGCCGCGCATACCGGAACCGGTGGACTCGGCGGTGTTAATGTCGGCATGCGCGTCGATCCAGATAACGCAGGCATCGGGGTGGGCGCTGTACTCGTCGTAAGCTCGTCTGCCGGCTGCTCAAGCGCCCGATTGGTTCTCACTCAAGTGTTCCAGAAATAGTCCCCATCGCGAGCGAATGGTCCCCGCCGAGCGTAACGGGGAGCTCACCCTTCTTTGCGTGCCCGCCGACGGCCTGTGCGACGGCCTCGGTGACCTTGGACACGAGCCTCGGGTTCTTGAGCTTGCCGATGGGCGGGTCCATCTGCACGTTGACTTCCTCAAATTGGTGGTGGCCGTCGAACTTGACTGCCCAGCCGAGCTCTTTTAGCTGGTCAATGAGACCAGCCTCGACCATATGGATAGGACCCTGGTCCACGCCAACGCGAGGCTGGGGATCGCGTCAGTCGTGCATATCGTCCATTCATCGCGTGATTGACGTACCTGCCCGCCGCTACGCGAGTATGGGTATGAAAACAGCGTAGATAGATCTTAGAGCGGTATCAGACACACCTGAAAGGGCAGCCCACGATCTACCAAGGCGATTCGTTCAGTCAAAAAATGGGTGGAACACCTGGAATCCAGACTCACCGCGGCAGTCATTGGAGACGAGAGAAAGCGCGACATGTTTAGAGTAGGAATAAAATTGTCTAGGCAAGACAAGGAGAAGATGGAAGATCCGAAAGAGCTCCGTATGCGTCGAGGGCACTGTCACGATGTGGCTCGTGATCGCAAGCACGCAAAAAATGGAACTGCCATGGCGCCGGTTTCAGGAGGTTCCGTGCTCGTCGCCAGCGTTGCCCAAGACAGAGGAACTTCTGTCATCTGATTGCAGAGGGCCGGGCAGGCGGACCGTTGCGTTGCGGGACAAGACTTTTTTGCTGGGAGAGACAAGGACGCGCAGCCGTGTATATTGAGAGATTTTGGAACGTGAAGGGGGCAAGTACTACATACACGAGCGCATTATGAAGTAACGATAAGAAGATACCATTGACAGCGTGAGAGACGCATTTCGAATTAAGTTATTAGCGCTTTGACCAGTGATCCGAAAGGTCATTGTTGACTCTCGTGCAGTTGTCTTCTTTAAAATGTTGGATGGTGGAAGAGATTTACAGTAGCACCTGCAAGAGGTAAAAGGCATGTTTCATTTTTGCCGAGAGCGAAACGTTCAATCAGTGATAATATCAGTCGGGTCAACCCGCCCATCTGCGCCTAATCCTCCTGTTCTCTTCCTTGGGATGGCAACCTCAGGCTGCGCGAAGTTGTCGCCAACGGTCGGGGAAGGCAAAAGAAAAGAGGGTGTAATAAAAAAAGGCAAGGACGCTGGGAGGTTCGAACTCCCGACTCGTGGCGCATGCTGGTTCTCACCGCTCGTGCTTACGCCGTACGGTGGTCGCTTCTACATATAAATCCGCGTGTGTTCCACTACACCAAGTGCCCGTGAAATATAGCGTAATTAGCGTATATGCTCGGGCCACTGTAGATAAATCTGCACCCTCAGCCAACTGCTGGAGCATCAGTGTGCTGGACGTACCTGTCGTTCAGATAGTGCACGTCGACGAAGCATCCGGGAAAGTCTGGGGTTAAAAAGACGGCGACGAACTTCGATGCTGAATGAGACTCTGCACTTCAGCTCGACATTGACAACGGCGCGGGAAGGAAGGTGGTCAATGCTCAGACTCGACAGTTTCAATTCAGGTAGTCGTCGTCCACTGGACCCAAGCAGGGCCAGTCGCTGTGGGACCCATTGCAGAGGCTGAGTTTTCGTGCCAAATTTGATAATTAAGTGCAGTATTAGGCTTGCGCTAGGATAGCTAGCTTGCGTCAAATGGTACAGTGAGCCGGCAGCAGATAAGAGGAACAAGAAGGCTAGCAAGGAGGTCCAGCAGGCGCGGGTCGGCGAAGGGTAGCGGATAGTCGGAGAAAAACATCACAGGGTAGTCGTCAGCAACGCCTTCGCAGCCCACATACTCGACATACTATCGAGCTAAGCAACTCCGGTCAACGCCGAATAAGCGCATAGAACGAGAGAACCGCACCAAATTAACAAACTTGTCCTCGCGGACGACGTCCCCCACAAGCCGTTCCAACGCCGCGTGCGAGAGATCGTATAAGCCTGTAGCCTCCCGGAGCGCCGCGATGAGGGTCTCCGCGCTCGGGGGAAGCGGCGGGGGGGGCGGCATCATCACGCTGTCTGCCGAGGAAGGCGGCGGAGAGGAATCAGGAAACGACGCGGGGAGAGGCTTGCTCGTAGATGCGGGGGGCTGCGTGGCGTTCGGCGCAGGGTACCACGGACGGTAAGGGGACGACGCGGGCGCACCACGGGAAGATGCCGAGAATGGAGGAGGCAACTCGGGCTGGGAGGACAATAAGGGACTTGGTGAGGACGTGAACACGGCGGGAGCATCAGGAACAGGGATAGTTCTCATGGTGGGGACACGTTGCACTGGAATAGGGACAGGCGCTGTAGGATGGGGCGCAGTTTTCTGCCAGGCATTGGGAACAACAGATTGGTGCACTTGACGAGAAGCGAGTGGGACAGCGACTGTTTTCTTGCGCTCTTGACCGTTAGATTCTGTTGGCTTGCACGGGCAGACGTCCCGGATCGCCTCGACGAGCTGGAGGGCTGAAGCAGCGGTTGCGAATGAGACTTGAAATCGGCGATAAACCTGCCCAGAATCGTCAGAACGAAACAATGCGCTGAACAGCACATACTTTTGGAGAATCGGGCGAGTCGGAGACGTGAAGGTAGCGCAGACCAAAGGTAGTATCGCGGTAGACGCCTTTGAGCGGAGAACTGTCCGACTTGTCGTCTCTGAGAGAGGAAAACGCGAGAAGGTCCAGATCCTCCTGGAAAGAAAATGAGATTGCCTGGACCTCTGAATACACTGAGAGGAGGCCCACCAAGACAACATCCTGCTGTGCAACCCCCGACGCGGATCCACCATTCATCGTCCAAACGATTCGCAACCGAAACGATTCGGCCCTTTCGGGAGACTGCTTGGTGTCGAGGATCAGTCGGAGAACGGGATTCGTAAAATGTTGCCATTCGGAGGGCCCAGACGTTGTTTTGGGAGAGTAGGCCCTAGAGTATTTCTCGAGCGTGTAGGTCTTCGTCTCTGTGGTAGTCGATTCCGAGAGTGTCATGGTGGCAGGAAGGAAGAAAGATCTTGCCCAAACTCGACAAAGCCGTTCAGACTCCAGTAATTTCGCGCGATATGTAAAGCTACCCCAGGCTTCCACAACTCCCTTCAAAGGAATATTAATTACTTGTAAATGGATGGGTAATCTATAACTTGGACGGAGTGGCAGACAGCGTATCTACGTCTATCTCTGTAAATATGTCGAAATTCCGCTCCAACGTTATCTCGCTCGTAACCTGTGAAAAATTAGGTGAGCGAACCCCGACGACATGACAAGTGCTTACTCCGCCCTTTCCCGCTAGGACGAGCGCGCGATGCAGCCGCCCAGCCGGTCCGCCGCGCGTATGGTCCCCCTCGTATGTGAGCACGACGCGCCCCTTCGCATCCGGTGGGCCCAGGCGCCGCGGGTTAAATGCCAGCTGCCCAAATGCACCGCGCGCGAGGGCCTCGACGCGCGCCCGCTGCTCTGCGGTGGTCGCGCCGCCGCGCAGGATGGCGGCGAGCGTGCGCACGATGTAAAACTGCGGCGGCATGATCGTGATCTGCCCCGCGTGGAACTCTTCAAGCACTGCGTCGGGGTGGAGGAACCGTGCGGCGATGACCTCTTGCCCGCCGTCTGTACGATTATTATTCCATGCCCGTTAAAACAGTATACGGAGTGGTACGCACCTGGGGTCGGGATGCGGTCCTCCTTCGCACCGCTGGAGAAGCCGGTTAGAGAGGCGGTGGCACCGAGGAAAGTAACGTAGAAGTTAGTGTGGAACCGGCTGGCAAAACTTCAGCAATCTCAAAACCACGACTTGCTATTACACTGACCGGGGAGCAAATACTGGTGTGATCCATTGTGTGAAGGGAAGGAGGGCGTCCACGTCGGCCTGGAGACCGTTTTGAGCGAGAAACGTCTGGAAAGGGGTCTTTCCGGCGTGAATTGCATGCCGCGCCGTGTCCAACACAGCGTCTGACGGGGGAGGCCCGGATGCGAGCAGTATTCCCGCTTCCTCGAACGTCTCCCGAATCGCCGTTACCTCCAGCGAAGCATCCTGCGCCGTGTCAAGATTGCCCCCAGGAAAGACCTTGAAGCCCGCCGGAACGAATTAATTTGGGACGTCCAAAGGGCCGAGAGCGCAATACCCACATGAACACCGCCAAACGACCGCGCCTGCGGATTTCTGTGGACGAGAAGCACTTCGTTCCGGCTATTGATTATCACAAGACTCGCAGACGGCCGGGGAGTCGGGGGCGCTGGCGAGGTGGATGTAGACATGAAGGAAAAGGCACTGAGGGCTGAGGGCGGTGGTCCGAGTGGCGTCCGGTAGCGGGAGGGTAAGGCACGGGATATTAGCCTGAGAGGATATATACGCGGATACATATCCTTGTAGGCGTTCCGCCGGCTACGAACGGACTCCGCCGTTTCACCAGGGCATGCAATGGGACAAGTACAGGTGTATGAGGGCGTCCCACAGGTTGAATCAGTCCAAATCCGAGCCCGGTAAAAGAGTCGATTTGGTTGAAGCCAAAGCAAGAGTAATCGTACGCGTGTCCCGTTTAGGCGATGCTGAAAGTATTACTCACACGGGAAACCATTGCTCGGCCGCCCCGGCGAGCAGGTTGATAGACATTAAGTACACATCTCATAGGGTGGGAGCACTGAAGGCAGAGAAGTAATATTATTTGGAAGAGGCCCGATATCAATATAAATCAAGTTCAAGACCCTGCTGTACTAGGTTGTCCATACGAGTTGTGAGGTCGTCGCTGAAATACTCCCTATCGTCCCAACAAATGATCGAAACCGATTTCAGGCGTGCAACACGCGGGGGAGAGGGACCGGCAAGCCCCTGTTCGTCTGTCCACCAGCGGGATCGAATGGCGGCCTCAAATAGACCCTCCTCGAAAGCGTCCCCGACGTTCTCGAAGCGTACATCTTGCAGTTTCGGCGCCAGCGCTAAAGTGGCGTCGCGGTCGTACCTAAGCCCCTCAAAGACATCATTCGCGACGCAGTTCCAGCTGCACCGAATGTCGAGCGTCGTGAGGGCGGGAGCGTGTCGGAGGAGAGCGACTAGCCCCGGCGCATCCATAACGCTGTATAACAATTTGATCACCTCAATGTTTGGGGATCGATTCTGGAACTGCGAGAATACGTCCGTCGGCCAAATATGTGGTTCGTCGGGGTTGAATTCCAAGTCAAGAGTTTGCAGGGAAGGGAGGGCAAGCGGCATAAATAAAGCCGCTATACCGCCAATTGCTTGGGCAGATCCACCGGTAAAGGTGATGATGAGCGTTTGGAGGAAAGGGAGCACAACGACGGGAGCCTGCGACGCTTCCGGGGAGAAATCCCAATGATGCGATGTAACGAATCGCGCTGACACGAGATTACTGCATTGAAGCAAAATCGCACGGCAGCCGCCAATCGAGTTATCATTGACTTGGAGGTCCACGAGTTGCGACCATGGCATCTGAAACAAGGCAAGGTCCGACGGCTCGTCGTGGCGAGTTTCTAAAGTGAGGGTCCGGAGTCGAGGGGAGGATTGGAACATGGTCACAGACTCGGTGTGGTGCCAGCGTGTTCGAATATTCAGGCATTCGAGGGCGTTAAACGTCCCGGGCGCAAGGCCCCTGAAATGGGGGAAGGAAACCTGAATGAGAGACAGATTCTGCCAGCGGCTCGCAGCGCTGAGCATAATACGAGCTCGCTCACTCGAAGACGTGGAAATGGAAGGCTGCGACCTAAGAGCGTTATCTTGAGAGAGGGCAACTGATATGGGGAGTTGGGAGGAGCGGATGAGAAAGTCCTGCAGGCCACTAAGGTACGTCTCGTCCGAGGTTCGCTTTTTGTTCAAGTCGACATGAATGGCACCTTCAGCCCACAGTTGCGGCGAGCTGTGAACAATTTGCCGCCAATACGGAGATACCTGAGCCAGGCCCAAGATTTTCTGAGAAACACCAAATGCGGCGCGGGTGAAAAGGCTTCCCGGCATATACATGTATTGGGAAATCGGAATGTGAGAGAAGAGGGGCGTATGCACTGCGTGCTTGAAAATCTCCACCAGCAATTCCGTCGGGAGTTTGCCGATGGGTACGACCATCAGTCGCAGTGTGGCGAGGATACTGCGCTCCCTCTCGCGCATGAGGGTGAGCTCGCGTATCTGGGCCGTCAAGCGCTCGATATTGCTCTCCGCCGCCTCGATGAGGACCTTGACGTGATTTTCGACATTGGTGAGCCCGGGGGATCCAAACAGGAGGGTCGGAGATACAGACATGACCTAATGTTAACAGTTTGAATGAGACAATTGCCACACG